AGGGATTATGGCAGAATTCCTCCAGGATTTTACAAAGCCTCTGAAATTCGAGCACCAGCAATTAACTCGAATTTCCACTTGAACAAATTTGGTGAATTGAAGATAGCAGAAAAGAAGAAGATACTTTGTTGCTTTTCTGATGATTTTTGTTTTAGAGAAGAAAAGGGTATTTATAAACCCTTTAGGTGTCTGTTAGGACTAACAGACTCAACCTTTGCCAATAGGCACCTTTTAATACCAAAAGTCACCTCTTTTCAAACCCTTTTAGGTGTCTGTTAGGACTAACAAACTCAACCTTTGCCAATAGGCACCTTTTAAAACAAAAGTCACCTCTTTTTAAAATTAAAACGTTTTAATATTTAAAACGCTTTTTTTATTAATTAATAAAATTAATAGATGACTAAAAGAAATAAATTTCGAGCTCTTTAATTGGCCTAAAGCCCCAAGTGCCCAAGTGCCCAATTTTGACTATTAATAATATAGCCAAATTCTAGTTCCCTCCAAAACATCTTTAAATTATTCAAATCATGTAAGACAAAGAAGTGCTTTTAAACACTTCTTCCTTTCTTTCTTTTTCCAATGAGGGACAAAGCAACATCTTCTCAAATACTCCCATCAAAACACTAACTAATATAATAACCCCCCACTCAGTTAGTGATTGATGTTGTTTATAAGATTCATGCGTATAGTAGGTATCTTTCGATTTAAACCTACTACTTGTATAAACTATTCAAGACCTTGTTGAAATTGATGGTTAGATTAAGTTCTATTAAACCACAATTCCTATTTGACAAGACGGAAAAGCTTTATACACATAAATCGTACCAACTTCACAATTTGTTCACCGTGAGTTTTAGCACCCAATTATGGCCTTGTGCTACTTCCTGAATTCATACACACTTATCAAGTTTTGTATCCCAAACTTTGATAGAAGCGGCACCACTTCTTGTGTTTACATAGGTGAAGATTTAACCAAATCCTTAACACGGACTTCTTTAGTTCCTAAACCGAACTCTGCTTCTTCACTAAGAGTATTTTTTATACTCATCCTCCTTTTCTAGGTACTAATTTCCAGTACCTGCTATCCGTCACAACTATAACTTGTTATTACCTTTTAAACCTTTAATATTGTTGAACAATAAGAAAGGTAAGGTTCCCGTTACTAGTGACAAATTTAAATTACCTTAGACCCATAGCACTTGTTGTGCTTATTATCATATCCCTCGCGAGTCCTTTAGTGAATGGGTCAGCAAGGTTGTCTTTAGACTTGATGTACACAACAGTAATAATTCCATCCGAAATTAATTGTCTTATGTACTCATGTCTTAAAGCAATATGTCTAGATTTTCCATTGTATATTTTGCTAAATGCCTTAGACATAGTTGCTTCACTATCACGGTGCAAGAGAACAGCTGGCATTGATTGTGGCCACAACTTTATATCTAACAACAGATTTCTCAGCCATTCTGCTTCTCTTCCTGCAGCTGCTAAAGCAATAAACTCAGATTCCATTGTGGAATGAGTAATACACGTCTGTTTCTTAGAAGCCCACGAAATTGCTCCTCCACCTAAAGTGAATATCCACCCAGACGTTGACTTGTTATCACCAACACTAGTTATCCAACTAGCATCACAATATCCTTCTAACACTGAAGGAAATCTGTTATAATACAAGGCAAAAGTTTTTGTCTTTTTCAGATAACCAAGTATCCTCACTATACCTTTCCAGTGATCACCACTTGGATTGTGAGTATACCTTGACAATTTACAAACCGCAAAGGCAATATCTGGCCTAGTACAATGCATAGCATACATTAAACTACCAATTGCACTAGCATAGTCTAATTGACTAACAGATCTTCCGGGGTTCTCAACCATCTTGCTAGAAGCATCAAACGGAGTATTAAATTCTTTAATACCCAAATGATTAAATTTGGAAAGAACCTTGTCAATATAATGAGACTGACATAAGGCAAAACCCCCACTATGTCTTTTAACTTTAACACCTAAGATAGTATCAACTTCTCCCAAATCTTTCATCTTAAATTGAGAAGTTAAATACTTCTTAGTTTCATTTATGCCTTGCATGTTAGTTCCTATGATTAGCATGTCATCAACATAAAGACATACTATCACTCCATAGTCCTTTGTGAATTTGGAATAAATGCATTTATCTGCTCCGTTATGTTTAAAACCATTTGATAATATAACACTATCAAATTTTTCATGCCATTGTTTTGGAGCTTGTTTTAATCCATACAAGGACTTAACTAATTTACAAACTTTCTTCTCATTTCCAGGAAGCACAAACCCTTCGGGTTGCTCCACATAAACTTCTTCATCAAGATCACCATTTAAGAAT